ACACACACACACACACACACACACACTCTCTCTCACACACCCTCACACATGTACAGTCATGATAGAGTGCTAGTTTGATGTCCATTTTATTACATTACAAAGCTTGACTTCCTTTGCTTTTTTCAGTCCATTTAGTCAGCAGTTTACAGGTTTTTAACACGTTATGCTCTCACCTTTCATGTTTTGTAAAAGAAATACTAAAATATTGCCAAGGTTGAGCTACTTTCTTTCAACTAATACACACATTTTAATACTGCAGTAATCCAGATCCAACAGTATTTATCACCAGAGACCTAAAGATACTGAAAATGAATGTGGAAATATACATAATATAGATAACAATGTAATCACTCCCTTTATAGCTGGATGACTTAAAGCTGTTCAGGCGACTGGCACCTTTCAATCAAGTCCAATTCAGCTCTCCAAAAAAGAAAATGGATTTTGCAGGTTGAAGATGTTTGATCTCTTTGACTCTTTGCCTTCCGTTGTTCCCATGTACTTTCTGAAAGTCTCTCTTTTCTTTCTTTCCTTTTTCTTTGGTGAACCCCACAGGTCTATCTCAGAGAGGCAGGATGCTGTGCAGGAGATCCTGGAGTCGCACTCGCTCACTTTGAATTCCGTCAAATCCCTGTTGTCGCATTTGCCCGACCTGGAGAGAGGCATCTGCAGCATCTACCACAAAAAGGTAAAAAGCAATATAAAAGAAAGTATATACACACACACACACACACACACACACACACACACACACACACACTCATGCCCTTCGGATGATATCTTTTGTTGTTTTGTTTCCACAACCCTGGTCTCATTTCTGTAGGACTGGTAATCATTCTGTCAGTTATGATAACACTTCACTCACCAACCTAAGCTGAGATGTGTGGGTGTAGTGACAGGCAAAAACTGCTCGGACAAAAATGGTCAAAACTACAAAAGAATTGACAAAGGCAGGAAAAGAAAAAGCTATTTCTGGCTGTTTTGCATAAAAATGAAAACCAAGACAATTTGCTCTCTCTCTCTCTCTCTCTCTCTCTCTCTCTCTCTCTCTCTCTCTC